TTGGTGTGTTCGGAGTTTCCATGCCTGTTGTTTTGTTGTCATTTTTCTTTTTTTCGTAAATCAATTTTAAGGGTTCGAATATAACATCCGATGCGGTATTTGTTTGTTCGTTTATTATTTTGCCGTCGAAGGTTTTTAGTATGTATATTTCCATATTTTCTAGGACGTTTAGTCGTTGGCCTTTATGTTGTACATGCAGTAGTTTCGCTGCCTTTCTTATTTGCGTTGGTGAACATTTGTTGTTAAACATGTGGTTAGCAAAATTTGACTCTGGTATTACGCTCGGTTTCTGTGTCTTTTTGTTATAGTCTCTTATATGCTCGCGGAATCTTGTTTTTATTTTACGTCCTGTTTGACCTATGTAACTATGCTGGCATTTGCAAGTTAGTTTATAGACTCCTTGTTTATCCAATGGATCTTCTTGATTTGTGGTGTTCCGTAGTATCCGTCCCACGTTGTTATTTGTTCTGAATGATGTGCGAAGGTTGTGTTTCTGGAACAGCTTTGCAAGTTTGTACGTTGACTTTCCAGTATAGGTTAATACCACCCAATTTTTGTTATTGTTTTCTTCTTTGTTTGGCTTTTTGTTTTTGTGCTCCCTTCGGATTTCCTCTACCAGATCTCTTTTGTATCCGTTATTAGCCGCTATGGCATATATTGCGTTCAGTTCTTTGTTGTATCCTTCTTTTGTTAGTGGTATTCGCTCAATTCTATTGATCATCTGTCTAAAAGCGGCTTTTTTATGCTGATGAGGATGGTTCGATGTATTATGTATTATTGTATCTGTGGCTGTGGGCTTCCTAAAAATTTCATATTGCAGACTGCTGGTGCTTTTATTTATTTTTATCGTCAGATCTAAGTAATTTAGCTTTCCTTGCATTTCTTGTTCCATTGTGAATTTTATATTGCTGTGCTGTTTGTTGAGGTATTCCAATATCTGTCCTTCATTTTTCTTTGTTATAAGACATATGATGTCATCTACGTATCTGGCGTAGAACGTCGCTCCTAGTTGTGATGTAAGATACTCCACGTACCTTTCTTCCAGATTCTGCATGAATACCTCCATAAGGATCGCCGATGTGGGGTTGCCCATGCCTAGCCCGTTTGTTTGCATGTATATGTTGTTGTTAAATTTGAAGTAATTTTGATGCAACGTCGTTCTGAGTGTATTAGTTATCTCTACGGCGATTTCTCTGTTTCCTGTTTTTTCAATCAGTATTTTGAATACGATATCTATTGTTTCCGTTATTGGTATCGATGGGTATAGATCTTTTATGTCGAATGATACCAGTTTAGTATCCATCGTGATCGCTGAGTCTTTTATTTTTTCAATCAATTCCGTTGTATTAGATATTGTGTACTTATTGGGCAATCGAAGGTTGTCCTTTAGTATAGTTTTTAAGTGTTTTGATAGTTTATAGCTTGGGGCCGATCTGTGGTTTATGATTGGTCTCATGGGTGTGCCAAGTTTGTGGATTTTAGGTAGTGCATTCATCGGAGGAGCTGATGGATTCATGATTGTCAATGTATGTATTTGGTTCGGCTTTATTATTTTTGTAGCTTTCTTTATGGTCTCTTTTATTGTGGCCTGGTATTCCTCAGTGGGATCCTTTGCTAACTTCCTACATCTAGTTTCTTTGATAAGCTGTTCCGTTTTTTGTATGTATTCATCTCTATTCATTAGTACAGTTGTGTTTCCTTTGTCAGCTTTGGTCGTGATTACGTTGTTGTTTTTTAGTTTCTGCTTCAGACCTTTAATTATATTGCTTTCTTTGCTGTGGTTTTTGTTTCCTTTGGCTTTGATTTCCTTTTCAATTAACTGTTTGCACCTGTGTCTAGTGTGTTCCTGTTCCTCTTTCGGCAGCATAGATATAGCTATTTCCGCATCTACAATTGTCTGCTCAATTTCCTTTTCCTTATTGTAATTCTGGATATTATGTTTGAGCCCTTTTTCTAAAACTCGCGATTCTTCTTTGTTGATGAGAACTTCTGTAAGGTTTACGAACCTGGCATGGAATTCGGGTTTCTCTCTCTGTTTTTTGTTCACTCCTTCTTGACTCGTTTGTAACTTTTTTAGTTTTCCTTTCAATTCCTTGTACTTTTCTTTCATGGCTTTCCTTATGCGCGTTTTCATTTGATCAAAAAGCTCCATTAAGCAGTCGATTGGTATGCGCTCCGCTAATTCTAAATGAATTGATAGCAACTCATCGTTTGTTTGCTCCTTTTTGGCGTAAAGACTCTTCAATTCGTATGTTAAGTATATTCTCTCTGCCTTCTTAATTGTTTTCCTGCATACCTCTGTATTCGATCTGAGCTTCATTTGGGCAAACTTTGGTGTGACATTCAATCCGAGACATTGTTCATTAAACCATATATTAGCCTTTGTGTTGTGTATTTTTAGTAGACGTCGTTCGTATGTGGTCAAAAGTATGTTGGTTCTGAGATAATAAGCCTGACTAGCCTTATTTGTGTGTTGGTGTTGGTTGATTTTTCCGACAGGGTGGTAAGATGATTTATTTTGGAACGAATTTCCGTCATCCCTTGTCAAGTTTGGTTTGCAGACAAACCGGTTTCGGCGTTGTGCCATCTTCAGTGTCATTTTTCGTTCTGTCTGGTTCGAGATTTGTCCCTAATTTATGTTCATTTATTTTAGGTAATGTGATTTTCGTCGATGATTAATTACTAGATATGCCATGGTGCCCATTTTTTGAAGCAGGTAATAGGTTCATCTTCGCTGTTTCGATATTAACATGCATTATGTTGTCGCTGTATGGTTTTTGCCTGCAGGTAGGTAAAAGTCAGTGATTTTTGCCCTGGTGGTGCTTTTTGGTGTGTTCGGAGTTTCCATGCCTGTTGTTTTGTTGTCATTTTTCGCGCAGCGAAGCACGCCGGGTAATTGCTAGTAAAAAAAAGCGACCGCCGCGTCACCATACGGCAAACTGCCATATTTAAACTGGCTCGACAAGCGCCACAGAACTGTCAAAAATCCTAATGCCCATACAATTTGTATGAGGCGCTCACCGCTCTGAGCAAATGGCGTTGACAAAAGAGTGAAAGATTAATCGAGAGAAAATGGGAAAACGTCAAATATTACGGCGAGTTTATTTGGGTATAGCGGGCTGGCACCCGTTGGCTTTGGAAAACGCAACGCTTAGCGCTCCAATTTAGGGATGGCAGAAAATTTTTGCAGGAGTTATTTCTTCCCATTTAAGTAATATATCTCGCCTCCTGCTCCAACTACGGATACAATTTTTGTGTAGTTGTAATATAAATTCAACCACATCGGATCTTAAAAAAGGGTTATTCAAATATCTCGATAACTGCGCCACCTTTCCTTGGATTTGTCCATTATATAGGACATGTTCGTTTTGCAGCGTGTTTGTTTTTTTAATCACTTGCTCCCATGCAAAAGTAGAATACATGATTAACCCTAGAACGCATAACCGGTACCCGTGTATCCACTAGAAATTTTGAAATTCTGTGGATAAAGTACTTGTAGAGCATTGAAATTTGGGATCTACGAAACTTAGTTATTTTCGCGTCATTTGAGTGGCCAATTTGTGGCGGAATTTCGATAAATACCACACTTATGTATCTATGACAAAAGCAACTTAAAGTGAGTTGTAAAGTCGCGGAGGTGTCATGCAGACGCAATCGGGAGTTTGTTTTCTTCACAAGTTTTTATTTTAAAATACTAATATGAAAACTGCTTTAAATACATTTTTCTTCTGCACTTCATAAATTCTTATTCGAATTTAGGACAAATAAAATGAAGTTCAAAAGTGTATGGTGTCATTTTGATTTTATGTCTGACTAAATGGAAATGTTGAACATAAATAAATAAAAATGTAAAACAATAAAAATAAAAATAAAATTAACAAAACATCTTTTTTGTTGATATTTTATATTCAAAAGTAGTTATTTACAAGTTAGTTGAGATGTAATGCACAGAGGTATCCAGGTCTGACTTTTTGCGCCCATCGCAACAAGTCATACAGTTTCGCTCAGAAATGTCTTTATATGAATCTTGTGGAACATTTTTTGGGATTTTGAATAGTGTTTCAACCTGTTTAGAAAGTTAAACTTAATTTTGGTGTTTTAACGCCATGCGGGTTCAATAGTGTTTTTTTTTTTAATAACTTTGGGAAGCTTTCAAATGGAATGTTCATATTAGAGGCAATAGACGTTAATATCAAATACAACCTATCTGTGAAGTTTCAAGAGTGTGCAACCAAATCAAAAAAATGGCAGCATGCAGAATAGCTGTCACAGCTATTTTGTGATTTTTGAAATTTTACGATTTTTTTAAATCTAAAAATTATATTTGTTTATTGCGACTACTTACACCAGGCACCTAAATGCATGCTATGTGCTGCTGCTTGTGCAAAAACTTCCTTCTCAACTGCCATGTAAATGAATTTTCTTAAGCTTTAATTAGGTGGAACTTCAAAGTATGCTCAGCTTAGTCAAACGCATCCTCCGGAAACTGCTTCCGGAGCATTTTGCGCAGAGGTCGTAAACAAACTTTACCATAGGTCACAGTGCCTACCCACCTTTTTTGATCAAATAAATTTTTTTTTGTTTTATACATACATGCAAACATACTGGTATCCCCTCTCACTGAGTTATTCAAGGTCCTTTAAGTCTTCAAAATGTCCAAAATTGAACGGTGAAAATGTTGTTCTTGTAAAACGAACGAATTTAGTGCAACAAAACTAGTGTGCATGGCTATGATTTGAGAGACTAAAATTCAATTTACAAATTTTTATAGGCACACTCGAAATTCATTTCAAAATTGTTAAAATATGTAGAAAGTAGAAAGTAATATATGTATTATTTTTACTTTTTACTATATATTTTTTAGATTTTCATTTCATTCATGGAAAAATGTAACAACTCGTAAGATTTTCTCATGTAAGTACGAAATAAAATTCCGT